GGATTGGGCAAAATTATGCCCTGGTTCATAACATTATCAGACAGAAGTATTCAAGCATCATAAAATGCTTCCTGTCCTTTGCTTTGGCATCAAAATTAAAAATATTTAAAATTATGCATTTAATAATATATGTTAGAATTTTGTTCACTTYCCATTTTGAAAACCCTTGTGCAGATCTATATAATACATTCTTTTTTTTTTCTTAGAAACATGAAGTCTATTATTTTATCTTTTCATTTAAAAAATCCTCAGATTCCCTCTCTATCCAAAGAATTTTAGCAGCTGAAACATACAGAAATGCATCATGTATCACAAGTCTATTAAAAAAAATCTGGAAGATGACAATATTGGATCCATTGGCTGCACTTTAGTTTCATTTTTCCAGAATTTTATGGTACCATTATATGAAAGGGTACAAACCTATTATAATACTGACTTTTCAAGTAACTGCCATTCTGACACTTACCTGGGATTGAGGGAATTGTCTTTTTATTCTGGAAAAAAACAAGATCTCTAAATATCTTCATCTGGATAGGAACTTGAGAACTGAAAGAAATGAAGGCAATGTTTCCAGATTCTTGTAGGGGAAAAAAAGCACTATCACTCAGGAAATCAGATACTCAGCTGTGTCTGCAGGTTACGRAAAGCTATGATATAATCTTTTTGCAGAATGAGAGTCCTTTGCAAGGCTTGCAAGACAGAATAATTCAGAGTATTTCTAACAAGAGTATTGATTGCAAAAGCACATTTTCTTTCCTCTTTCCCACATTTCTGATTTTAAAGGCCTACACAATAATGGTGAAATATATGAAGCTTAAAACCCAGTAAAAGCTGCATAAGGAATTCCTGATGTCTGATCAAAGGCAAGCTATTTGCGAAATTTCATGAGCAACTGCAACTATTTGAAAGATAAACTAAAACCATTTATTGACAGATAACATGTGAAATAATGTCTTTTAAATAAAAAATACAAAATATGCATTAAAGCAGGATATGAATATAGTCAAATGGCAAATATCAGATTTGTTTCTAAGACACAGGGAAACCATTCCAGAGATTTTCAGCAAAGAAACACTGAGTAACATGCAGTAAAAACAGTCAGCTTCCACATTTCAGCACAAGTTGCACTGGGTAATTCAAAGGGCAGCAGGAATGTATTATTAGGCATGTAACCACAAGACAAGTTATGCCATAAAAATACACAAAAGTTATTTTTCAGATGACATATTTGTGATATTGGAAGGACATTAATAACAAAAAATAGTTAGGAAACATGATGGTCTGGTGGGAAAAGGTGTGAATTGTGCCTCTTTTATATGTCACTGCATGCTGCAAATTCACAATGGCACTTTTCTCGAATATTGCTCACCCTTCAGATTGTGAGACAAAAGTCTCYGAATGCACAACCCAAAGTAAGTTCTCATTATCTGAAGGAAAAGGAGGGGAAGAAAAACACTTGACTAGYTTAATGACATCCAAAACTATGATATGTGGAATATGTATAATACTGAAAACCTTGTGAAGCACCTGTATTRCATGTAAGATTTCATAACCATTCAGGCAAAGTAAAAGCTGACCGTGACTGAATTCTCAACCATGTGACTGCAGTACCACTGTTTACCACAACAAAGTAAACTATTCAAGAAATATTATGGAATAAGAGCTGTAAGTGAATACATTTCCTTAGACAGAACAGCTTCTACGAAAGATAAGGGAATAAACTTTTCACTCCAACAGGTAGAACACAGTAACCAGACATGGGTGTGAAAACAGAACTACAGCAAGAATGATAATTGCATGTAGAAGAAAAGTTGTGACTTTAACCTTCAAAGTAATGGTGAAGTGATTCATTCCATGGTCATGATAGCTATGTTTGTGGAACAGTGTGGTCACACTCATTCCAGAGGATCAGCCTGCAAAAAGTACCAAAGCTAAAGAAAACTAAAGGTAATAAAGTTTACTGTTATGTCAGGATACTCAAAATACGACAGCCTGTGTTCGTTCACTGACAAATTGTTACCTAATCACTAATAGCAAAAGTCACGGCACACACAGCAAAGAAATGTTATGATAGAAGCCTAGATAAATTAATAGTTTGGATTCAATATTTAAACCCTATGAACAAATGTATAGTGGAACATAGAATCACTTTGGCTACAGATTGGCCAGTCTCCTGGATAGTACATCAAAGTGATTTTATTGGGTATTCGTAGCTATTTTTATTTGGCATTATGTTTAGGTTTCATTTGCAGTAAATAGCAAGCAGAATGAAGCCTCAACTTCAATGTTCAATTAGTTTAATTTAAGCATTAAAAGAATTTCCTGATTCATGGAATCGACTTTCATTTATATACATTTGCCATTATCTTTTCCTATCCTTCAAATAATGATTAAAAAAATGTTTATAAAAACCTCTCTTTGTTCTGCTAACCCTGCAAACTAAGTATGTTTCATTTATTTTTAAATTAAGTGAAAATTAGCCAGGTGTGATAGATAAGTTTTCTATACACAGGTCTAAATATTGACAAAAGGAGACGTGTCACTGGAAAAATCATCAGTCTAGCAATTATCACGTTAGCATGTTAAGTGGAAAAAGATGTGAAACTTCCAAATGTGTCAATACAGATTATTTCATTTCCACCAGCTATCAGCTATACTGTGAACATTGGTGCCTTAGTGTCTATTCAGCAGCAAGTCGGTTTTGCAAGCAAAAATCTTAATGTGACATAAAGAAYTGTCAAATCTCTGGCAAAATCATGCATATCCCCTTCAGAAATGGTCTGCTAGGCAAATATTCAATATTTCTAATGGGACAGACAGTACAGGGATAGAGCCAGAGAACAGGAACTGGAACAACCAGTCAGCAAAAGCTGTCTTTCTCTCAGACATGGCAATGGTTTTCAGGTCCAGATGTGAGTGGACAGGGAGGAGAACTGGCTGCTCACCATGTCCCCAGAGGGGAAATAGCAGCAAAAATGTGTTAAAACCTTTTTTAATAGTAGGTCCAAAAACCACCTGTGATTTTGACAGCTGGTTCTGCCAAATTAAATCACATCTCCTTCAGGACAGTCTTRATCCTTTCATATTTCCTTGCCTAAAACTTAAAACAGGATTGGCAGCTACAAAAGCCTTTTCCTCACTTTCTTCCAATCGCTGCTACTCATTTTAGATTCCCRGCACACTATTAATTTCTCATATGAGGAATGTATTTGTCATTTTCATAATCTTGTCRATATTACGTTATTTGCAAGTCAGTTTAACCTTTTCTACTGCTGCTGTCCATCAAAAAATGTTTCAAGAAATTAAATTAAGGTGCCTTGATTAATAAGCAGCAAAGAGAGGAAGACAGAATAATGATTCCTGTAGTTGAACAGATAGCGTTTTAAACGTGTATTTTTCTTTACAATGTCAATAATTCATTTCAAGAGTTCTGWGTAGACTCATGCCTAAACTGGTGTTTAACTCTTTCTCTTGTCAATAACAGCATTGATAACGGTGTAGCAGCTTATGAGAGCTACAGCTCATAGCATTCATTATTTTGGAGGGGGAACGTGCAGAAAGTTCTCAACCTAGTAACAACTAACAGCATGAGAAAAGTACACTTGAGATGAATAGCACTTTCTTGCAAGGATCTTGCAATGTTGCCAGATGTTGGATGTTTAAAAAAAAAAATCTCTCTTGATGAATTTTGAGTGCTCTTGGAGAGGTCCCAGCTGACTGGAAGCTAGCAAATGTTATCCCAATTATCAAGAAGGGCAAGATGGATGCCCCCAGAAACTACAGGCCTGTCAGCCTCTGGTGAAGTTTCAGCATCTGGTAAAGTTATGGAGAAGATTATTCTGGGAACCATTGAAAAACACCTGAAAGACAACACATTCACTGGTCACAGCCAGCACAGCTTCGCGAAAGTTCTGCTCATCAAGCCTGAATTCTCAAAGACATAAAACAGTGACAAACAGATTACTTTCATACAAACATCACAATTTTTATGTAAAATGCCTCAGTTAACAAATAGATTTTTCCTATTTTTAATTGGAAACAGATTGCATGGTATTAAATTTAAGATATTGCAGTCATCCCATTCTTCTCTTTTTTCAATGTCCTCAGATGTCCGTGGCTTGCAATCTCCTTTTGTATTGAAGTATTTCAAGATTAAATTTCAGAAGCCAACAAGAAAGGTATTTTAATATTTCCTTTATATCTTTTTTACTCTCCCTTAGTGCTCAGCATCAAACAAGATTTGGCCCCAAGTCGTGGAGATTTTAGGCAATAGTTTCCCCATGCTTAAATTTTAAAAGTAGTTGCCATAGCAACTGCCAGACACAGCATATGGTGTGTCTGTTACCTCCAAGATAACAGAGCAAGTTCTAAAGAATTTTCTTTACAATATGTTATGAACCTTTGTACTTTTTACAATTTTTCAGAGTGCAGTATAAGGTACTGTTGTTCCGTGACATTCTCTTCAAGCTGAATGCTCATTTTGTAATTCTCTCCTTCATATTAGGGAAATATTTCCTTCTCTCAGTYGTATTTTTATTCACCCATTATTCGGCAAAACAAGAAAGAATTAAGTGGAAAAAAGCAGACATTTATTAAGTTTTATCTAAAGATTCTACTTAGTTTTGCTACAGTGTTCCCTTTCCTTCACAGTTACAATCAAAAAGATAAAAATACAGAAAAAGACAGAAATCTTGTTAAAACTTCTCTACTAYATAGGGCCTGGACATGCAGACATTTTGCAGAACTCTATACAGCCTTCAACCCTTTGACTCCCATACCTGTCCAGCTTCTCATCTCAAATGAAGAATTAATATCTGTGCAAARTAGCCTCAATCAGAGGACCTCAGAAACACACCTGTGACCTCTTTTTTGGTAGGTAGTACATATCCCTTGGATAGACTTATTTCCAAACCCCTGACCAAAATGGTTTTTCCCTGCTGTTTGTAGCTCCTGAAAAGAAAACTCCTAGAACAGTTTGTGGATCGGATGACAGTACCTACCTTCCTCCACACATCAAGAAGATGCCTCTGTCCAGCAGAGCCCTCAGCAGTTCAGCCTTTCAATGCTTGCCTTGCTTTGCAGAATCACATGCAGATTCAAGAAATAAGGGAAACAGGCCTTTATTCCCCCTTCTGCACCTCTGTGGCTGTATAGGCTGAGACAGGATTAAAAGAATAGTTACTAGGATACATAATAATGTTCTGCTCTATAATTTTCTGTCCCCCGAGTCCTTCGTTCTGACAACTTTCTGCAATTCAGACACCTTCTGCAAAAATGTTCTAAAAAATTAAAAAATAAAACTCCACCAAAACAGGAGTAAGAGTGCACATTTAATTCTCCCCCTGAGGAGAAGCTAAGAAAGGGAGTTAACCATTCRTTATACTTTTTGCCTAACACACAACTATAAGATGGTAACACTAGTCTGATGAAGACACAAGATTGTGTAAGAACAGAGTAAAAATTTGTTTGTGGGTTTGYTTTTTTTTYTCTTATTTACTCTTCATTTACCAWGGTTGCTTCCCAAGGAAGGGGTAGTCATTCAGTAATTGGAATTGTTTGCTGTTACCTTCAAGTAATACTTGKTCAAATGTCTTGCAAGGAAATGCTTGTATTTATTAAACCAGTTACATGACTCATTACAGCAGTTACTCGTATAGATGCATTTTTCTTAAATCCTCTTTTGCTGCCTGGTCAAGGAGAGAAAGACACTAAAGAGCCTACCAGCAGGTACTGGACATCAGCTTTCAGTGTAGCTTTCGGTAAAGGCTGAATGATTCTACTGGAGGGCGGGGGGGGGAGAGGATACTTTTGCTGCTAGAAAGAGACTAGTGATAGCATTTTTTCCTAGTAATGGCAGTTGAAATTAACTAATAACCATAGTTACAGAAAAAGCAATGGTAGGAACTTCAGGTTTTAGCTSCTAAATGGCATGTAACAGAGAAGGAACGTCTTGTGTGAGTTTCACATTATCTTGGTCATGCATTATCAATTTTTAGTCTGCAGAATACAGGATAAGAAAATTACTCCTGTGTCCTGACAGGATGTTGACAAAATATGATAAATATGTTAAATTAATTTTTAATAYTGTATTTATTATATATAATATAAAAATCACAATTAAATGAAAATTYTATAATGCAGGAAGACATAGTCGTCACCAACCATGCTCCACTTTTATATGTGCTGTAGGCAATATCAGAGTACATAAATAGATTATCGGTTAAAGCCATTTCAATACCCATGGATGCCATGTTTCTCTTAAATTTCATAGGTTCCTATGGGTTAGTTTTCCTGGCCAGCTCATGGATGGCATTATTTGTTGCATTGGACATACACTWGACATTAAGGTCTCCACAAGTTCCTAAGGGAACAGTTGATCTCTCATACTCCCTTCCTTCTTCTGAAACCACCTCCTCCCACTTAATCCTGAATTTTTCTTGTCCTGCTCTTAGCAATCACCCATCTCCACTGGCACTGGCAGTATGCACCAACCAGCCACCAGACCACACAAGAAGGGGCTGGAAGAAGCGGGTTCATTCAGYCCTGAGAAAAATAAGCAAAGGAGAGACCTGAGTGATCTTGCTGTCTTCAACTGCTTACTAGGAGGGTCCAGAAGAACAGAGCCAAACTCCTTCTAGGGGCACAGTAATGGTGTGAGACTTGGTGAGCATGAATTGGAACATGGGAAATTCCAKCTAGATCATGAGAAAATATTTTTATCATAGTCAAACAGCAGAGCAGGTTTCCCAGAGAAGTTGTGGCATCACCACCATTCAAAACTCAATCAGGCCAGGTACTGAGTAACCTAGTTAACTTGATCCTGCTTTAAGTGGAGAGAGATGACCTCAAAAGTTCTCTTCCAACCTAAATTATGTGGGGATTCTGTGGTTCTATTCAGCTCAGGAAAGCTCAGCAGGTAGTTAAAAAACTATTAAAAAACATTAAAAAAAACATTAAAAAACATTAAAAAACTCCTCTAAAAATATGAGTATGCCTGACAGAATAGGTCCCACTTATAAGTCAAAGGGGGCAATTTATCCAAAGTAGTTTGTGCCACAGAGGGAGAGGTTGGTATTGTTCTCTTTTGGATGGCTTTTTTCTTTATTAACATAGAGTATGTTGAATTTAGTAAAGTTATTCCTGGTAAAAATACAAATAGCAGAGAATCAACTCCTAAATATGAATGCACCAAAAATAAAATAACTCTTAAGTTTCATTTCAGTGTGACTTATTCTATTTTAGGAAACACAGAACCCAATAAAATCTATGCAAAGCCCCTCTGTAATTAAGTGTAAGTGAAGTATATCACTGCAGTGTATTAGTGACTCTATATAAACATATTTTCCTCCTGAATGGTTATAAACAGGCACACCATAACCTCATTTTTAGCTTTTTTTTCCACATTAGGAATTCATTTTTCTCTTTGCAAAATGTCACTTTCTTTCCAGCAGGTTAATCCCAGGAGGTCTGGTAACTACAATTACTCCATTTAAATGTTCCACAGATCTGTCAAGACTCAAAAGAATTCTGTAGTGTCAGTTTAAATATAAATATATATAATTCTAGTTAATAATCATCACTTCAAGTCTGTTATGAAAACTGTATTACTCATTCGGAGTGTGTGTGATGTTGTGTATGTATGCAGCATTTGTTGCAGCATTTTCATTGATTTAATTATTAAAAAAACCCACCATACTAATGGCAACACATCAATGACCTCATGCAGAAAACAACATTGCTTTTAACAAGGTTAACTGGTCTGTAAGTGTTTTTTTCTAATTACTTAAGGGAAAAGCATCAGAAAACTTTCTAGCTTTTCATATAAAGTATGTATTACTGTAAAAGAAAATACTAGCAAAACATATTTGATACTTTAAATTTCTATAATATTTTCATCTGAAGAAAATATGTTCATTTACCAGTGACCAGAACTTTATTTTTTTCTTGATGGGGGGTAAGGGGATTCAGAGAGGTTGATAATTTTCTGCTACCTTATAAATAGCCTCATACACTACAGAATAAAAAGAGAGCCTTCTTAATGGCTTCAAAACAAAAATTGTGATGTTGATYAAAAATAGAAAACTGTTTATTTTCTTTGACTTTAATGTGCTCATTGGATCTTTATTTACCTATCCTGCTAGAATAGCCCTTGCAATACAATAAGTAGAAATGGAGCTTTTTTTATAACGTAAGTTTCAGGGTAGCAGAACGAATACCCTTATGCCCAGAAAACTAATACCGATGAATAGCATTTTGAAGCTTTTAATCTCCATGACAACCCACCTCAGATTCTTCAATAAAATGCCACAAACATACTGATTTATGCACACCTACCATGTGTTCATAAATATCACCGGTGTTGTGAATCTTAAAAACATATATAATGTCATTGATGTCTTTCTCTTGGAAAACTCATCAATCAGCACGCCAGCTAAAAACTTCATTTGTAGCCTCCTGTTTATATTAACTGCTGAATAAACAGTTCAGTTAAATAAAAAGACAAAGAGATACATACAAAATATGTCTCAAACATTCCTCGAGTTTGACAATCACTGGGAAAAATATCTGATTTATAAATGTGGAGGAATTACTTCAAATATCTACAAAACAGAATCAGAATTCACACAGCAGAGCTTTTCAAAGTATTCTTTCTGTCTCAGAAAGGAAATAGTTGACTTAAATATTATAAGCAGAGTATTCACAAAGGTAAGTGACTAAGAATCTAATTATTGATATGAGTCACGTTCTGATGTAAATTCTGCTTATGCTAATGCTGAAAATATCACGACAAATATTCCCAAAAAATGTCCCAAGACCAAAGTTCAATTCAAGCCACTCTGGGAAATGGGACATTAGAGATATCTACCTATGTAAAGAAAACCGATACTCACTGCCATTTACCCAGCACTCACAAAATTCACCAGTTACAGTCCATTATTTTCCATGTTTTTAGGACTGGTTCACTGGACCACTCCTACTGTAACACACCTGCTGGGGGGATGCATGGGGCCGATGCAGCACTCAGTATTGTCACAAAGCAAAGCACAAGGTATGCTCAGACCCAGAGGCAGGCCTGCCACTCTTGTATTTGCATGTTTGGAATGGCTCACCACAGCTGCCAGCCGTGCCTGCCTCCCACAGCCCCTGTCCCCTGCCCCAACCCTCTGCAGCCTCCACTCCAGCACRTTCTGCCAGCATTTCCACATAACCTGTTTTAACAACCTCTCATATCTAACATCTGACCCAACCACAAAGACTTTATTAGTCATGGTTAATTGAACATATTTCAAGTATGATTTGTACCTGTTAAGCCATTTTGCAAAGTAAGAGCTGATGGACTGGGCAAACTTCTTTTTCCTGACTTCTCTCAGAGGGTGTCAAAGGGTAGCCTACCATCAGTACCATCAGTATCAATTTTGGGAAAAGCACTTTTCTCCACACGCACCAAAAAAAAGGAAAAAAAAACCAAAAACATCAGACACAGCTTTCAGCTGTGGGAATCAGCCTTCTCTGTGGCGCCCCAGGCCATCCCTCACTTTGACAKGAGTCTGCTTATCACAAGACCTTTTATCGCAATTTGTATGGTCAGTCACAGAAGATGATATAAAGCACCCATGAATCTGCCAGTCTGGAAGCATAGCTGATAAACTCAGTTGAGAGAACTCTGAAATACCACCAGGTWTCTTTTTGGATAGACAGAAATTCTCAGCATTCTCCTCTTCTCTGTTCCTTTCTACCATCTCTGCGCTGAACTCTGCTACAGAACAAAACCATACATCCATTTATAGACGAACAAAATCACTTCAGCATTCCTGTATCTGCACAGTATTTCACAGGAGCTGAAGGGCTTGGGATGGACTCAGGGCATGTTGAAGACCTTCAGCATATATGTGGATGGCTTGGTCCCTAGAAAAGTGTTAGAAAGCATCGTGGCTGCAGGCTGGTTGGTTCCTATACTGRAAGCTAAAAGACAAGTAACAGAATTGTACTTCAGAAAATGTGAGGGGCAGGACAGGAGAGGCTCTGCAGTCTTGGACTAACTTATGCTGCACTATCTGGCTACTCTGCAGACATTCTCCAGCAGTAATCTACCAGATAATCTACCAGATATGTTATCTCTGCCCTATTCACTTCAAATTAGCTGTGAACCCTGTA